ATGAATCGATCCAATTTTTTACTTCTTCATAAGACCGGAAGTGCTGGTCAGCCAGGCCGTGTGCCATTGATCGAATCATGTGATAGTCAGAGGGAGCAACGTCTGGAAAATACGGCGGGTGGAGTAGGACTTCCCATTTCAACGTTTCCAAGTATGTCTTGACCACTTTCGCAACATGGGCGAATTGTCATGCTGCAAAAATCACTTTATCGTGTCTCTCGTTGTATTGCGGCCGTTTGTCTTTCAACGCTCGGCTCAAACGCATCAATTGCGTTCGATACCGATCGCCTGTGATTGTTTCAGTCGGTTTTAACAGTTCATAATACACTACGCCGAGCTGGTCCCACCAAATACAGAGCATGACCTTGGATGTCAAAATCACCGTTCTTGAAGTTGAAGCCACTCGCGACACGTTTTTTCACTAATAGCGGCCTCACCATAAGTATTTGAGAGCATTCGATGAGCCTCAGCCGCAGATTTCTTCATATTGAAGCAAAAAATTAAAACCTCCCGCAAATGACAAGAATTTGGCTCGTAAACTGACATTTTCAATCGAGAATAACTTTATGATGCAGACACAAATCGACTAATGTTTCTATGGGGTTATGTTGACAGATGCCCAAGTTTATTGTATGCCGTCTATGATCTTTTTATTTCGACCACCACTTACCACTAAAGCCATCTATAGGAAAACGGCGGAAGCAAAGTTGTACACCTAATAAAACATTTTTTCCCAGGAAGATTTGAATCTGGGCTTTTCTATAAGTATTCTGTGACAGGTGTCTTTTACTTTTTGAGATAATTATTTTTCCTCTTTTTTTTTTATATTAAAAAGGGAAAGCATGTAAACATATGCATGTTATCTAAATTTCTCTCGATTAATTTCGCGTGATTTGCATTTGTGCGAGCAAGAGACGCGGGTTTTATCCCACCCTCGTTTCGAGGATGTAGCATCGTATGGGAGGCACGCGCGAGATGATACGTTTCTCTCTTTCATGGAGCATTGATCGGATCCTGCGCATTCGGGAGAGGCTGGCCATATTACCCCCACGATCCTTTTGATCCCTTAAACACCGCGTTCCCGCTGCTAGTCGATGCCGCGGTCGACGTATTCGTCGCGATTTTCACCTGGAAACCCGCGGTGTATCGTAGATAAGTAATTATCTCATTGTCATCATGCGGCTTCGCAATCCGGATAGTTAGATATAATTTCGCGCCCTCGTTTCAATTCTTCTCCGCTCTTTTTTTTTTTTCACTTCTTCATAAAGCTTCGCTTGCATCTGGGATCGTTTTTAGTTTATTTCTGCACTGTGTGAGACTCCTGATCATTAAGGATCATTAGGGATTTCCCAGGAGGAACGTCAGAAGCAAGTATCGGACTCGTCATTTGGTAAGCACGATTATTTTATTGATATTAACACACAAACTAATCCAAGACGTTAAAGAACTTCTAGATGTTTCGTATATTATTCTATGTAAT